GATTAAATTTTCTAAAGTTTAATCCACAATCAATTTCTCTTGCTCTGTCCATACATATGAGTGATCAAGTTACTTATTGCATGTCTTTTGATGTTTCAACATTAGTAAACACAAGTGAACGCCGCTAAATCTGTCGTTAAAAACTTGTTTTGTTGTAGTGTGTATACGTAGTAAACAATTCACATATCTTTCTAGTTTATCTTAGAACCACTCAATTTTCCCGAAACAAAATAATAACGTTACCTTTAATAGCACAGTGACTCAACTCAATTTTCCCGTTCTAGTGAATGAAAGCTTATCTTCGTAAAACTTCGAATTCTCTGTAATGTGGAGACAACTCCTCTAATCAATCAAAGCTGGAAAATACAAACAAGGAAAGAAAATGGGAGGGGAGGAAGCAATTAACTTGTTCATAAACAAAAGCAGACAACCCATTTGATATTCATCACCATTGTCATCAATCTAACAGAATTTGAATTAGAAATCACTGGAATTAGAACTCAATTGGCAAGAGATATAATGTTAATTACATGAAATAGAACAAATATAAGTGCATGTAGAATTTCTTTTTACTTTTTAAAACAAAAATGTTTTGAAGCTTAAAATGCCAGAAATCAATATAGAATATTTTATATGCGACAGAATACTCAAAACAGAAACGAAATTGATACACATCCCAACAATAACCATAAATCGAATGCTCCAAACCAACTACGATTATAAGGTTAACCAACTTCAATAACAAACATGAAAATAACAATACCCAAATGAAGCTCAAAACAAACAAAGAAAGAAAATTAGATTAAAAGAATCATATATTTTTTAAAGAATAGTGGATCTCGTTAAAAAAATACTTTAATCCTAATAGGGGAAAAGAATATTCGAGTTTATTCATCAATGATAACTTATAATCATCCTTATATAAATGATCATTCTCGACAAACCAAAATTGTTCCAAACTACCAGCTAGATGTTGTGGTCATCACACAAATACCATAACTAACAGCTCATCCCTTACAAATTTAATCAACAACCCACAATAATTCTGGTACTAGACTAAAATCCTTTTTTTCTAACATGTGTGCAACACAATTATATTTCCTGAACGCAAAGTTTATTTTACAATGAAGTTTGGATGAGAGATGTTTTCATTTTGACACATCTTTAAATAAATCGGGGGCCAAACTTTCTTCAGTAAATCACTTAACCGCCAGCAAACTATCTAATTCGATGAGAATTGAAGAAAATTTCTTCCATTTAGATGCATTAATCACCAGAATTGTCATTAGTTTTGCACATGTAGGATCCAAAAGTCTAATTGATTTTTAGAACTTTGTCAAGAAAGACCTCGTATGATCTCGTAAAATACCCCCAATACTAGCATCACCATAGTTACCTTTTACTGAAGCATCAACATTAAACTTTAAGGAGCCCACTGGAAACGCACCCACGACCCTTCTGGAGGTCTCTATTGTTGTCTAATGCAAGCCTCACCAAGGTTCAGTTGTCTGATAAAATCTAAAAATACGAAAGCAATCACTTTGTAAACCTAATTCACTAAAATGAAGCATAAAACTTTCATTTTTTTAGAGAACCCAAACCTATTTGAAATTACGTGAAATGTACAACTAATATGATAATGTCATTCGAAAATTCAGAAGGAATCAATTAAAAAGAAAGAAAATGAGAAGAGATGAACCTGAGAGGATTACAACAAGTGAGGGAATTAGATGACCAAATAGGGGCTGAAGGGTGAAGTGAAGGAATATCGCTACCAAGCACTGTAATGTCGTCTAACAAACCATAATCATCAAACATCCATGCGTTGGGGTTTTTCGAGGAAGAATTAGGGAAGAAGATGCAAGATAGGGAAGAAGAGGTTCAAAATAATTAGGGATCAGCCAGAGGAAAGGGGGAAATATAATTATCTTTTCGCGGCGTTTACATGAAAAAACGTCACTAATGTACGTGATTTTGCGGCGTTTTTATAAGAAATGCCACTATTGTACAAGTCTATAGTGGCGTTTTTCCAAAAACACCAATAATGTATGTGTTTATAGCTGCGTTTTTAATAAATAAAAAGCCAGTACAATACGAGATTTTAGTGGCGTTTTTTACATAAACGTCACTAAAGTACGCGTTTTTAGTGGCATTTTTTATATATCAACTACAATCGCCGCTAAAAACCAGTTTTATTGTAATGCTGGGGCAGGGCACATACATGTAGAAATAGACAGTAATAAGACTACTAAGTTAATTCGAAAAGATCTACGGCACGGAAGGAATCTCACTATATTACAACACATTGATAGAATCCTAAAACAAGATTAGAATGTACAAATCAAACACATATCGAGGGATGGAAGTAAGACAGTAGATGCTCTAGCCAAACATGCATGGACACTTCCAACAGAATTGCATGAAATCTTACGTCCATCAGATACAGTGATATCAATGATACGTGAAGAAAACACTCAATTAGTGTAGTCATTTCTTCTTTCCCCGTTGAAAAAAATACCTTAGAATCCATTTTAAACTATAATATTCCTAAAATAATATTTTCTAACTCATATAGATCATACTCTTATAAAACAACATAGAACACTACTAAATTCTCTAAAACTTAAGTTGAGATGAATGAAAAAGAAATCTCAATTAATCAAGAGCAAAATTTGGTGAATTTGATAAAAAAATAATTTAAATTCATTTTACTTTTCAATACCGTTTTAAAAATTTAAAATACATTTAATATTTATTAAAAATTAATTTTAAAATAAAAAAAGTTTTTTAAATCAAATCAAATTAATTAATTTTAAGTTGTTGACTTTTTATATAAAATTATCAAAATGTTATTTATTTTTTTATTTTCTAATATAATACTTAAATAAATATTTTAACTTTTTGCAGTACACTCTAAAATCAACAACATCAATCTTTAAATTTTTTGATATAATAACTATGAATATTTAATGGTATTAATGTCGATCTTGTTTAATGTCCAGTATACTATAAATAAATGGTGTAGTGTACGTACTTAATTTATATAGTTATAAGCAAGAGGCAATATAGTTCAGTTGTTAAACATCACACACAATTGAAAAACGTTGATAAATAATGTAAAAGTTTTTTCTTGTTTTAATTAGTTATTGGTATCTGATACCGACTAATCCAGATCGGGTACTGTAGAGGCAAGAACGACCCTCTCAACCCAATTTTCTATATTCACAAACGTAGGGTTCGAACCCCTGATATTGCTTAAGGAATCTAGTGTCTTATCCCATTAGACCAACTGGTTGTCGGCAATGTAAAAGTTTTTTTAATAGTCTAAGATAATTGTAAGATAGTATTTGTTCAATCCAAGATAATTGTAAGATAATATTTGTTTATAATTTTCTTAACCAATTGACAACGCACACACCTTGCAGATATAACTATTCGAACTCATGATTTATAGGGAAAACAACATCATGATCTTTTACTATTAAGGACACTTTATGAGTTAATTATGTAAAGAATTTATACATTTACACTTAATCAAATATATATTTATATTAATAAAAATGATGATAAATCACATATAAAACTTTGTATATATTATTATTAATAACAATGAGTTAAACTACAAAGAGAGAGCGTCCAAGTATTCCAACTAACAACTATGGGTGATGGGTGCCTACTATTTATAGGTGTAAAGTTACTCTTATCTAACGGTTATAATTTATTTAAAGGGGTAATTAAAATTGTTTTTAGGATTATTTATTTAAATTTATACATTCTTATATAATCTCAAAGGATTATAAAATTTCGGTCTCTTTTATAGAGTTTCAGATTTTTCGTATTTCTTTAAATTCATTCGTCTTTTTTAATATGATACGGAACTTTTTATCACAATAAAAGAATTTTCATACCTATTTAACTCGAACGTAAGGTGTTGTTCGTTTATTGTACTAGAGGGCGGACATCCTGGATCCTTGATGGCTGGTTAACGCACCCGTAGGAGCCTCCATGCGCACTTGTTTCCACCATCCGCATTAGAAGAAGCCTGATCAACCTCCTTATGTAGAATTTGTGCCAATTTCTGTGATTCTGTCTACTTGTTACTCATTGAGCCTATTGCTGTTAAGATCTTGCTCGCGTCTCTCTTTTGGGTCAACTGGAGCCTGCCTGTTGAATAAAACCAAATTATTTAATTTTGCTGGCTTTTAAAAGAAATTATGATTTCTTTTAGTTTTGCATAATAAAAGATCTTGGCCTGGGTCAACTTCTGTGTCCCTTTTTTAAGTGGGATACAGAAATAACAGACCCAGCCCCCACTTCGGCTTCTTTTTCCCCACTCACGGGTTCCATGAAAACGGGTGCCAACACTCGATCCTTTGGTTTTGGTCAACAAGAATTATCCCATGTAAAGTAATAAAAAAGAAAAAGGAGAAAGTCCTCTCGAAAAGCGTGCTGCATAGAAAATACTATACATACAGTCTTATACAAATTGTTGTCAAGCTCGAGTTTTATATAATCTGCTTTCCCAATGACTTTTGCAATATAGTTCGTACACATTGCAGCTATATGTTTTTAGTTTGACAGAGTCATCGGAGGAAGTTCTTCCTTTCTCTTTCATGGTTTCAACTTCCTTCTTTTTTTATACCCAATTCTCAATGCAACTACGTAGAACATCCTATACCAATAACCAAATCACCCATTTCTAAAAACTTTTAACTGTTTTTTAGTGGCACAATTAATGGAATTTGGATTGGTTGTTTGACATGGAATCTTATTTCCATATACACTAATAATAATGATAACGATGTGATTGAGATTTGAGATTAAAAAAGCTTTTTAACTTTTTAAGACATCATAAGATTTGAACATGTAGAATTTTTTTTTATCATAGATGTCGGATTTTATACCCTTTTATAAGGGCGTTGAATTCTCAAAAGCCAAGCGTGTATTCGGTAATGAAAGGGAAAACTGTGGTGGCCACCATAGCAAGCCAACAGCAACTATAAGAACTTCTCGTTTGCTTCCGATTCCCTCCCTCTTCTCTGTCTACTCTCTACTAACAAACCTTGTCTCTTATGCTCAATTGTCCATTTCACCAACTAACAACGCACCATCTTCTTCTTACGACCAACTTTTCTACGTCCTTTATTCTCCTTTTTTGGCTCTATCTCAAGGAAAAAGTGTATCCTTTTTTTAACACAACACCTTTCTTTTTTGTTCCTAAGCTCCATAAACCTCTTTCACTGCCTTCCAGTTTTCCACTTTAGTTTATCTGAACAATGCGATTCTGCTGTGATCTTGAAGTGGATGTCAACGGTGAAGAGGTGTTCATGGTAGACAAGGTAATATATAATCTCTCTGTTAACCGTCGAACCCTATATTGTCATTGCGGGGATTGAATGATATTTACTTCTGTAGTTTGTTCACGTCAACTTCCTAGTTTTTTGTCGGCAGAGAAAATAAAAAATATCGATTCCTTTCGGCATGCTTAACTCGTTCCCATTTCAGCTTCTATGATTAATTGCGTTCACTTGAAATCATTTGTGTTGCTGCTTTGTGTACTCTCTTCCACGCGTCTTTATTTCTGCTGGTTTTTGATAAGTTATTGATTTCACCATGGATCTTGGCCCCTCTTCTAGATTACAGATGAAACAGGACCACTCTTGAATTAATTGTTGATGGCAACTTCTTACCTCAATTTCCTGGCATTTTTGGGTTCATTTATAGCTTTTTATTGAGTTGGTTACGACTTGGTATTTTTGGGTTAAAATGAACTTAAATGTCATAAAATGTTTCTCCTGTCCTTTACATACCATCCTACTGTGTGTGCTATTAATTCCAATTGAACTTGTTTCTTAATGCAGAAAACACTTGCATCTTTCTCTAAAAGACTCTCCAAATTGTTTGGTCATTTTATGGATAATACAGGGAACCTGAAAGTAGTATTTCATGACTTCCCTGGTGGAGCTGAGGGATTCGAGCTCATAGCAAGGTTTTGCTATAACAATGGGAGAACTGAGATAACTCCTGCCAATATAGTATTACTAAATTGTGCAGCACAATTTTTGGAGATGGATTGTGATGGCCCCAGGCCTAGCTTGTTGAACCAAACCAAAAATTCTCTAGATGGCATCAGCTTCTGGTCCTGGTCTGAGCTCCTTGTAGCTTTGAAAGAGTGCCAAGGTTTGCTTTCTCCTTCGAAACCTTCGCTAATACTCAATAAAGTCCTGGATTGTATTATAGGAAGGCTTGCCTCTCCTATTGTTGCAAGCCCATACACATCTTCTTCAGAGAACTCAAGTTTCCAGTGTTCATCTGATACAAGGAGAAGCTATAGTATCATAAACAATTCCTACCATGTATCTTGGTGGTTTGAGGATCTTCTGTTTTTGAATATTGATTTGATTGATAAGGTAATAAAAAAGATGATATCCCAACATTTTGATCATGCTACAATAATTAAGTTCCTCTTCTGTTATCAAAGATCGAGATTTCTTACTGCCACCCCTACTGAGAAGTGCAGAATCATGGAGGTCATAATCAATTTGATGTCTTTGGTTGATAGGAGCTACCTTTCTTGCAAGCTCTTATTCGACATCTATCGAGTGGCTTCTAGTTTGAAAATTAGCAAACTTTACAAATCCATTTTGGAAAATCTTATCGGTTTACAACTGGAACAAGCAACCATAGATTTTTTGCTTGTCCCAGCACCACAAAAGAAACATTATATGTATGATGTGAATCTGGTTCTGAGGCTGGTAAATGCATTTCAGAATGAACTAAGTTGTTGCCAATCCCCGGTTCGATTACAAAAAGTTGCAAGCTTACTAGACTCATACCTTGTGGAAGTTTCAGCAGATTCTTACTTGAACCCTTCAAAGTTTGCAGAATTAGTCCTCCTGCTGCCTGGTTCTGCAAGAGAATCCCATGATAGGCTTTTTCAAGCCATAGACATTTATCTACAGGTATTGCTATCAACTTATAAATAATTATAAATGTAATTAACTGCTTTGCACAAAAATTATAGCAAAGCTGATTCTCTAGTTTTCTTACAGTTGAAGTAATGATGTTGGTGAGTATATTCCTTTTAAGTTTGCAGGCCTTTCCCTAGGGATCAATCAATTCAGGCTCGTAAAATTTAAGTATTTCATTTCATATAAAAAATGATTAGGGCAAAACTGATATTGTAGCTGGTTAAGTGTACATGCTAATTCTAATTTGATTGTTCATACCTGAATGAGATCACTTTTTAGTTATTATTGCGATAGATGCTAATCCAATATCTCAAGTTTGTTGACTGATGAAATTTCTGAACAGATTCATGGAGGAATATGTGAAGCACAGAAAATGAGAATCTGCAGTGCACTTAACTATGCAAATCTCTCGACAGATGCATTGAGACACTTGGCTCGGAACTCGAAATTTCCTTCAAGAATAGCTATACAGGGTTTCCTTAATCAGCAACCCATGCTTGAAAACTTACTTGAAGGCCAAAAACATATTGACACATTTAGCGGTTCCATCTCTAACGAGGAAAGTATCAAAGAGAGAGAGAATAACGATCAAATCCTTGTGTATGCATGACAAGTCGGCTTCCAGGGGAAAGCCGAGCAACTTGATGAACAGCTGCAAGAAATGCAATGCAGAGTAACAGAACTGGAGAAGATCTGTGGAATAATGCAAGCTCGAATAGGAAATATTCGGAGAACAAGATTATCCAGTCTTGGTAATAATGCTAGATTCTTACCAAAACTCTGCTCTTGAAACATACCCTTGCCTCCAGAGTCTTTTATAGTTTGCCTCTGCATTGTTTTTGAAAAATATGTGTACATTCTGAGCCTATTAATGTAAATATAGATTATTTTTGTTACAAATGTTGTAAAAGAGTGACTGCAAATATTGTCATTTTTTATGACATAATAATTACATTTGTATTAGATGATTTTATGTTAGTTTCATTTACAGATTAAGGTTTCTCCTTTCTGCTGACTTCATATAAATGAAATACGGGAAGAAGTCAAAAAGAAAATTCTAAGTTTTGATGGGTCTTACTCTTACCAACTGACGACAGACAACAGTTTGTTGAATGTCAACGAAATGTAGTTAACAAAGCAGACATTGTTGAACATCTCTAGAAAATCAACTGCACCAGATAGAAAATTGCCGCCAGCTTCTGGCAAAGCATTTCCATTACAGTTTCAAGGAAGATCATTTGTCCTTGTTATGAAACCGGATCAGTAGGCATCTTAAACAAAAGTCAAAACAATCTGGTATGCTATGATGGCAGAAATTATTCAACTTACATCATCATCTAATTGTATTGTTTTAAGAAACGAGTTTTGAAGGTTGTAAGAAATGGAGACAATGTCAGTTATCTATGAGAGTACTAAGAAAAAGGTTAAACTACAAATTTCATCACCCAACTTTCAATAAAGGTTTCTTCCATTGCATTGCATTGGCAATGTCACCCTAAAGTTTTAAAAAATGATCAACATAAATTAAAGGATTAAATTATAAACAAAATTAATGAAATTATTAAAAAGAAATGGTTACAGTGTTGAAAACAAGGTTTGAAAAAAGAAAATATGACGGGAAAATTAAATTAAGGTTGAAAGAAGTTAAAATTTTACAGTGATATAATGTTAGTTTCTTGGATTTTAGGATATTTTTCGGTTAAGTCTATATCAAATTTATGTTCACGAGGACAAAATGAATTTGATGGAAAACTGACTCATCAGTCACCGACAATTGAAGTGATCAACACCGTTAGTTAATTAAGGATGGAGTGATCAAAATAGGAATAATTCAAAAATTCAGTGATTAAATTAAAAAAAATTACATTCGATGATCAAAATAATAGTAAGAATAAAGTTGAGAGGTAAAATTTGTAATTTAGCCTAAGAAAAGAATGGATGTTTCTAAAGGAATATCCGTACGGAGAGCCACTCCACTCCCCGCCAAGGCAGCCTGCGAACAATGCGGCGAAGTGCACGCGTGGTTACGGGGCTTACAACAGGAATGCAAATTTAGGCATGTTTGCAAATAGCTCTGATTTTTAAGAATTTTAACCAACACCAACACCCCACCACTAAAGTGAAGAGAACTCGGGTGAGTCAGCCGAGTTGATTTTTGTAAGCTATGACATATACTACATATCTCATAATCCACACGTTTTCCTTTATTAATCTTTCACAACAAAAGGAACCAAAACTTCCAATGTAAGCTCAAGTTTCAATGACATGGTTGTGTATTACCTTGGAGAGCGATCATTTAAAAATGAAGTAATGATGAATGAGGACATCAAAGTAGAACAAAATGCATGACACTTCCAATGTCATGTTTTCTTTGGAAAATGCACTGATTCAATGAACCATGGGTTGTGTGATCCATAAATGCAAGGGTTGGACCAGCATCCTCGAAAGGGACAGTGCCATTACTCTCTTAGATACAATCGCCAACAACTTTGATATTAGTGATTCTGTTTACCGATTTATGGGAAGCAAAGATCATTAATGAATGCCAAGTCAAGAACAATGACTTCTATCGAGGTGTTAAATTTCTCATATTTTATTTATAGATCATAGTCAAAGTTTGAAGTTTATTTAATTTTTGTATGTAAACCCACATACTCATGTAACATACATATTATCAACTTGTAGCTTAAAGCCTTAACATGAGGGTCTGTTGGCCACCAGACCATATAGTGATAAAACAAAGTTCATGAATTGACGGCGACATTGTGTATGTAACGCGGGCTTGATCGGGCTAGTAGTTAACTTTGTCCCTTGAACAGCCAAGGGTTTAATAGGCTTATCATCCGTGGATGTTGATATATCTCGAATAGGAGTGTTCAACTTGTGTTCGTTAAAAAAATTTATTGCTCAACTTGTTGCTCGTTAAGTTTATCAAAATGTTTAACTTATTTTCTTAACTATATATAAAATCTACTAATACTATATAGAGTTTAATATAAACATAAATGAATAAGTTTAACAAAAAAATTATCAAAAGAGTGCATGAAACAATTTTAAAGTCTAAACAACAAAGTAACAATATGTAAATACATTAAAATAATAAATAGGATTTGATTGTTAGTTATAGTAAAACATTAATTAATAATTTAGTATTTTTATTGTTTATTGGAAAATTAATAGATTTTTTATTTGTCTTTTTTATTATCTATTAGTAAAATAATAATTTTTTGAATCGAGTTCGAGCTACTCAACTCATTAAGCACCCTTAATCCCAAATTATTTAGTAGTAGTATCCTGTGGGTTCCTGAACACGAATCAATGTTTTTTGAGTGCAAATATTTTAATTTTGATTCTTTTAAGATTCAAATGAATTTAAACTCATGTCAATTTAAATTTAGTCTATAATTATTTTAACACCTATAAATCATTTAAAATAATAAAATTTAAAGTTATTCAATCATAAAACGATGATGTAAGGTACGTTTGGTAAACATTTGTAGAAAGTACAATTGTGAGAATGAATTAGGGATAATGTTTAATATACTTACAATTGATGTGGGCATAATTTGCGACCTCTATATTCATTTACCGAAGCAATAAAAGAAAATAGTCGGTTCATTGCTCAAGTCGAAAGAAATTACCTACAGAATTAATTTTAGGTATCAAATTCATTCCCAAGTTAATGTCTGCAATACAATGCAAGCCCATCTCTTTTGCAACACACTTAGAACGATTATGTTCATAACGTACACAGTTGAAGAAAATCCCAAGTAGAAACGTGAATAATGTATAATAGTCTCCCTAAGTGAAATTATTTGATGGGGATAAACCCCCGATAAACAAAACCAAATCACTCCATTGTTTAGGTCTAAGGAATAATGAGGGTATAATTAATATGGGTTAGGCAAACCCAATTGAATTTAACAGTTCGTATGTGGACTAGTTGATTCTTGTTTTGATGGTAATATGTTACCTGACTTTTGTCATGCAACCAAATCAAAAGCCATCGGGATTTTGGGGTTTCTATATATACTTATTAAAGATCTGGTAGATAATAATATGAATTAGGTTAGTGCCGTTTAATTTAACCTTGTTTTGTGGGTCATTTGGAATGTTGTTGGAGGAAAGCTGTATTGACCCCTTAAAAAGGATAAGCAGGTATGTATCTCGCACAATAGTCTAACTCTAATCTTGTTTCCCGTTCTCACTTGTCTCTAATCTCAGCATTACCGCAAAAAGAAAGGGGTAAACTACCTATTTGGTATAAAAAAAATCTATCGTATTTCTGTTTTGATCTTCTAACTATTTTTTATTTATAAAACCGTATTTAATGTTATTTCCCCCCTATTCTGATCACTTATAGTTAAGTTAAAATAATTGACATGATATAATAACAGTTTTAGTCCCTAAAACTTATTTATTCCAACAATTTAATCTTAATTTGAAATAATTTAATAAATCATCAGTTATTATAACTTCTATCAAATCTTCTACTTTTAAAGCAAGCGACTGAAAAATTAAAAGAAAGGTCGATGTTTCAGTTGTGGAACAAGGTAAAAACAAATTGAAGGAAGGAAGGACATGTGTGAGCATAAGCTGACAAGTAATGGCCCTTGTTTCAATCAGTGTCCTAAAATTGCAAACTTCAAGAATCATGAAGGGCCTATATTAACTGGGGACCCCAAATCACTAAAGAATGTTTTGGGTTAATCATCCATGTCAACCACCAAATGCATGGCCCGTTTTATTTTTCTTGAAAAATTTGGTGACATTTAATAAGTCCACAAAGACAATGATTATTGACCTGTGGTGGCTTTGGAATTTAGGTGTCGTTATATATATATATATATATATATATATATATTGTGCAGAACGTATTTCAACTCATAAATCAAGAGGCCAATCAAGACAGAGATGGCCATGGATGATACATTCACCTAATTTGAATGGAAGGATTGTATGTTACAACTGGACTATGAGGATCAAGTTTAGTGGCAAAAGTGACCTTACAGTTTGTAAGATTTTAAGTCTATTAGTTGGCATTAAAGCGTTAGTTGATCTTTCTAATTACTTTGGAGATTTTCATAGCTGTTGTCATCTATTTCTTTTTCCATTCCACCAGCCTTTAATTGATATCTTTATATAACACACACATTATAGTCGTCAAATTCACGTAAAAAATGTAAATATATAATTCCAAGTAATGATGATCTACCGATTAATGCTCCATTTTATTGTACCAATAAGGAATCGAGGCAAGGGAAAGAGGATGTTATATTGTGTGTGCTCGTAAAAAGAAAGGGGTAAAGGGCGGCTCTTGTTGTTTGCGGTGTGTATTTCATCCAATTTTGGGGGTTTTGAACAAATCAAGCGAAAGACACCCACACGTTGAAATCACAAACCATGTGTACCATTATTTTGGGTCTGAAAATTTTCGACTCCAAATCCCTTTGCTCCACCAAATTCATGCCATCTTCAGCTTCATCTCTTGATTTCAATTTCTTCATTATTTGTTCACTTTTTGCTTTTTCTTTTCACCTATAATTTTCATTCTTTGTGGGCTCTTTGTCACATGTTTTTCTTACGACCGTTTCTAGTTACCAACGTGATCTTATAAGCCTACTTTACGATGCAAGTAATTATACTTAATTATTAAGATGTTTGCTTAAGTAGACTGAGCATGTCTTACTAAATTACTATTGTTTTGAATCCATCAATGGGTTAGTCCATAAACTAACGGGGTTTTCAAGCTCCACGGATTAAGATGAAATCCAGTCTTGGACACTCAACTTCTTTTGGTTACAGACACTTCATTTCTTTTACCATCCGACCATGAATACCAATTTTACGAATTCTAAACAAATCTTTAATAAAGGTTTGTAAGGTGTAACTAGCTAAGAGTTTTTTTTTTAATAAGTTTCATTAATTTGAGTGATATTACGTGTGTT